CTCTGTAGACCATGCTATTGGGCGGTACCATGGTAGGTGGTACGCAGCCTGGTCGGGGGAGGGGGTGGGGGCTCGCGTCGACAACCATCTTCTCCCCCACCCCACCGCTCAGGATTCCCTCCTTCGCCACCAGGTTTCCCTGTCACCGCTGCTGCAGATCAAATGACCTGGTGGCCGGTGCAACCGTCTCGGTGGCGGTTCTGGTTGTCCGGTCCGTCCTCCTCTCGTGCTCGTCGGGCACATCCATGCTGCCATGGGTGCCTGGTTCTCGACCGAGCCCCTTGTACAGAGCTAGAGGGGCCAAATCTAGAGCTCCCTTAACGTTGAGCGCCATGACGACAGTCTGACAGGTAGCTGGCCGTCCATGTTGGCTTGGGGCTAAGTGGTGGAGGGTCGGGGCGGCTTTCGTCGGTGTTCGACAGGGTGGCCATTGGGCTTGGCAGGGGCCGAAGGTCTTCTTGGGGTGGCTAGCTATGCACTCTACCTCGACATTTGCGGTAACGTAGTAGTGCCTAGGAAGGATGGATCACCAGTGAAAGCTGCGCAAGGCCTTGGCCGTTGCTGGCGGAGGTTTACCGGGATTAGCGTCATGCCAAAAGGCTAACAGACGTATCCATTTGCGATTGTCCATGGGGTGTAATCTACAGTTGTCAACGATGGTCTCTTGGCTTGAAGGTGGGCCCTTGAATCACCTTGGTTAGGCTGCTAATGTTTGCGGACGCCGTTCTCCTCCTTGGAGGATTCATTGTTTTTGCCCCCTGAAAGTGCTAGTTATCGACTAGAGGGAGGGAGGGTGAATATGCGATTTTTATGGAAGTCTTCAAGACAGGCAATGTCTTCGAAGATAGCCAACCAAATGCAACCTACACAGTATGCAGCGGAAGATAAACTACACTAGACAAGCTATAGTCAAGAGAACATGGCAAGGTAAGCAAGAGGACAAATAGCGGCTAGATAGAGTGGATCAGAATAGGAAGATAGTATGAAGATAAATCAATGCAATAAGAGAGAATGCCTTCACACAGTGAAGTCAACCAGGGCAAACAAGCAATGACTTCACGAAGCTAAACAGTAAGGGTGAAGTGATAGAACCAGTTGCTTGGTGAAGACAAGGATTTGGTAGACCAGTTCCAGTTGTTGTGACAACTGCACGTTTGGTTACGGAGGCTGAGATTGAACTCCGAAGACCGCGTCTTCACCTTATTCCCCTTGAGCTAAGGACACTTAGTCCTCGCCCAATCACTCTGGTAAGTCTTCAAGGTAGACTTCCAAATCTTCACAGACTTTGTTCACCGGCGATCCACAACGACTTTTGGATCCTCAGAACACGACGCCTAACCGACTGGAAGATACACACTCTTCAAGTGTAATAAGTCTTCAGATCACGCGGACAAAAAGACTTCAATGATGCCTAACACTCTTTGGCTTTGGGTGTTTTGGGTTTTTTCCTCGCGAGGGTTCTCTCTCAAAGGCTTCAGAGGTGGGTTGCTCTCAAATGACAAAAGCCGTGCACTAACTCTGAGCAGCCACCAATTTATGGTGTAGGGGGTGGGCTATTTATAGCCAGGAGGCAACCCGACATGATATGTCCGAAATGACCCTGGTCACTAAGGAACCGACACGTGTCCAACGGTCGAATTTCAAACACACACGACAGCTTGACTTGGGCTACAAGCAAAGCTGACACATCCAACTCTGGATATGATTTTCTCTCGTTGTCTTCACTCAAAGATATAGGATTTGGGTTGAGCATCACATTAGTTGACTCTATTCACTTGGACCCCACTTAACAGTTCGGTGGTTCCTACGACTCAAGTACGAAGAAAAATGAAACTACGAAAGAAACTATGTCTTCGCACTCCATTGTCTTCAAGTGATTGTCTTCACACGTCATTATCTTCGACGTGAATGTCTTCATGAACCACCATTGTCTTCAATGCCTTCGTACATTTTTAGGGTCATCTATGGTAGGTAAACCGAATCAAAGAGGGACTTCTACCCGTGTTATCCAGCAATTCTCACAAACACATTAGTCCCTCAACCACGTTTGTCGTCAATACTTCAAAACCAACTAGGGGTGGCACTAGATGCACTTACAATCTCCCCCTTTTTGGTGATTGATGACAAACTGGTTGAAGTTTTCAACGGCGATAAAAATATGTGAAAGTTAAAGAACGCGGTCATTGGCTTCATGAAGTTGAAAGTGCCCCCTGAAGATGTGCATATAAGTAATTTGCCTTTGAATGCAAATGCACATGGCAGGTTCTGCTATGTGGAGATCTCCTTCAATTCATGAGACAATTCATCGTGCATACAAAAATGTAGTGAAGATAATGACATGCACAATGAAAAATGGGCGTTTGCAGAATGACTTCATGCGGAATTTATCATCACAATAAAAGGCAGCAGCAAAAGTGGCATACAACCATCAAGGCTTAAGTGTTACAACTCAAAACCAACAGTTCAAGAATGAGAGTTGCAAAACTTAATAAAAATAAGCACCCGACTGAAAGTGCTAGTGATCAACTAGAGGGGGGGGGGGTGAATAGGCAATTTTTATGGAAGTCTTCAAAACATGGAAGTTTCGAAGACAATCGATAGAAATGAACCTATTAACATGCAGCAGAAGGTAGACTACACTAGGCAAGCCATAGTCAAGTATTCAATGAAGTGAAAGCACAAATACTAATAGCAGCTAGGCAGTATGGATCAGGATGGAAGACAATATGAAGCCAATCAGAACAAGTAGTCACACAGTGAAGACAAATAGATAATGCAAACAGACCCTGTGATGCGGAGCATCCC